ATATATATATATATATATATATATATATATATATATATATATATATATATATATATATATATATATATAGTCACTAATTAAATTTTAAAATTAAAAAAAAAGGACAAAAAGTCAATTATTTTTTATTTTATTTTTTTTGGGAAACCATACCAATCACTACATCTAATGGCATATTATTAAAACTTCAAATGGTGGGAAAATGATTTTTTTTTTTAAATATTCTAAATTATTTATTTTCCAAAATAAAAATAATAAGTAAAAAAAAAAAAACTCGAGTGGAAAAGAATGTAGGGGGAAATTTTCAAGAGCACTCTACCTGTAATGCACTTGAAATAGATACATTTGAGTGATGCTTAATTACAAAAATACCATTGAACCGTGCACACAATATTAAGAACTACTACCGTTATAGATAGTAAAGTTATATATGGTAAATGTCATAAATTACCATAAATAGTAAATAGGAGTAAAAAACTATATTCGGTAGATTATTATATGTTATATCTGGTAAAACTATATATATAGTAAGCTAAACATATAATACTTTCCTTTAGTCAATATTCTTCTCGGAATTGTCTGCTAGTGTACATATTTGTAGTCATCAATACAAATTCTTTAGCCAATATTCTGATGCATTTTCTCTATCATGTTCTTTGTGTTCATCTAGATCGAGTGTGCGCGTTGTTATACGATTCTAATAATATGATATTGACGTCGTAGTAATGGAGATGTATTCGTTGCTTATAAACTCATGATCGTTTTCTTAATTAGCAGACGTGGACTCTCTACCAATAATCTCCAATATATAATATTTTATAAATTATTGGATAATAAAACTTTAGATTTAAATATAAACATGTTTAGGTAACCGATGATAAATGTTTTTTTTTCTATTCATTCGTCTGTTCTTCGTTTAATCGAAGATTTGTAACGTTATTAGGAATTTGTGGGGACGAAGAAAATGTTGGAATTATTTGTATGTATATATATATGGAAAGAAATAGTAATTTATGAGTTGTTAGGCACGCTTTGAAGCAGTGATTTTGAAGGTTTGAAATTTCATGTGTTCATGTCAGTAAAAGAATGCCCATAATCATTCCATTAATTATTCTCTTAATCCCCAAAAATAATAATAATTAATAAATAAATAATAAATTCATTCCATTTGCCTTTCACTTCGTATAAATCTGTGTTTTACCCCCAAATTCCCAATTTCATACTCTCTCTCTCATGGCGGAAACCCCAAATCAGATTGTCTTCATCAATTTCAGTTGATTTCATCTCCGATTTCATCACGAAGTGTGTGCATTTTGAATAATCTAAGGAAATTTTGGTATTATGAAGGATTTTCCTTCTTGTTTCGGCGAAAATGGCGTCCAAATTGCGGATTCTTCGTCTTCTTCTTCTTCGTCGTCTTCGAGTATCAGTAAAGCTGCTCAAAACCTAGTCACATGCGTCTACCAGTGCAAGTTACGCGGCCGATTGAGCTTCATCGTTCTAACATGGACCAAGCATTTGATGGGACAAGGTCTCTCGCTTCAAATCGAAAACTCTGCTAATCAATGCCTCTGTAAGGTAGAAATTAAGCCGTGGCTGTTCTCCAAAAAGAGAGGATCGAAGATCGTCGACGTTGATTTCAATAAAATGGAGATATACTGGGATTTAACAAACGCTAAATTCGGCTGCGGACCGGAGCCGGAGGAAGGATTCTTCGTTGCTGTGGTGTTCGATCGAGAGCTCGTATTTCTCGTCGGTGATTTACCGACGGAAGCTTCCAAGAAGATCACCGGCGTCTCCACTACCACGGCCACAGCGGCGGTATTTGTGGCGAGGAGAGAGCACGTGTTCGGGAAGAAATCGTACTACGCGAAGGCTCAGTTCAGCGAGAAAGGAGAAACGCACAATCTGTGGATCGAATGCGATACTAGTGGAGGATTGAAGGAACCGAGTTTGGTGATTCGAATCGACAGCAAGACAGCGATGCAGATCAAGAGGCTGAAATGGAAGTTCAGAGGTAATCATACAATTGTGGTGGACGGAATTCCGGTGCAGGTGATGTGGGATGTTCATAATTGGCTTTTTGGAAGCTCCGCCATGAGTAGTGCTGTGTTCATGTTTCAAACGCATAAGAGCAGTGGAAGCCATAGCCAATCCAGTTTTGATTCTTCTTCCTCTTCTACTACTTCTTCTTCTTACTGTCAACAGAGTAAAGATTCGAAGTTGCAGGGTTTGGATTTCTCCTTGATGTTATATGCTTGGAGGAATGAATGAATAGAGAAAATAGTTTTTTTTTTCTTTTTTAAAATTCATGGAGAATCAAAATCACTATTAAATTAAGAAAATTAAACAAAGCGTTAATTTTTTCTTATAAAGATTCGAACCAACCTCAATTACTATTGACTTGTGCTTAATTTAGCTTTAATTTTCTCTTCTTTTGGAGTTCAAAAGGTATTTTATTTTATTTTATTTATTTTTCCACACATGATATAGAAATCTTCCTTTGCGTTTGTTCTCATTTGTCTATCAATTGCACATCTTAAGCAACATCCCACTTCTTTTTTCTTGTGGGATCTCCTCAAATTTAAATTTTGGATTGTTGATGATGAATGTTTGTGAACTTAGATAAAATAAATTCTATTATAATATAGAAAATGAGTGTGATACACGATTTCGAACGAGCGGATTGCTTTGCTTCTCCGGAGAAGGACAAAGATGCACTGGTTAGGCTTGTAAAGAACGCGGAGCGTAAGTGCAAGGACAATCACTCATTCTTAAGACAGAAAAAAACAAGCATAAAAAGGGAGAAAGGCTCTGCGTTCTTAATTTTCCTGTAGCTGAATTCTGCTAAGTACACTCGTTAAGCTCAAGTGATATATTACCATTGACCTCCCTAGTTGGATGAGGGGAGACCTTCTTAGAGGACTATAATTCACCATTTGCGTTCGGTGTTGCTTACTTTGTTAATGTGTTAAGACTCCAAAGAAAGAGCGAGAAGAAGAAGAAGAAAAAGAAAAAAGAAAAAAAAAACTCGAACATCTAGATTTGTTGTAAATCAACTCATCGGAGCCATACCCTACTAATCTAGGAGCACCCGTGCTCTACCAAAACCCGAACCGAGGAGACATCAAGAATCATTTTTTCTTATCAGGCTCACCTAAAAGTTCAAACAAACTTGAAGACCACATGCTTCAGCATCTACATAATTGTGATACATAAAATGTGCTTTACCATTCCCAGTTTGTAATTTTCTCTAAAAAAGCACACACGATGCCAAAGAAGAGAATTGCTGTCTGATGTTGAGCTAAGAATTATTGAAAACTATTTTTCCATCTCTAGTGAAAACTCATTCCATTTCCTCACCAAATATAATCAGATTCCCAGTTCCACATTTAAGAATACAATTACTCTATGTTAAGGGATCAATTGTCACAGGAAAAAGGAAAAAAGATAACGACACTCCGTACCTGCGTTCATATATACAACTGCCAGAGAAATCGATTCACGATGCCTGGTTGCACCGTATCCGTAGAAAACATTATTCAGAAATCATTGCAGATTGTACAGCTTCTCCTCATGTCTTGTTTCCTTAACTTGCCTCTGGTTAAGTATGCAAAGATGTCGAACGATCAGCGTGTCATGAATCTTGAACCCACACCCTCACTGATCTATCCCCATCAAGTCCTGCAGATGCAATCTTGTTCTCAGTTGGGTGACAGGATACAGAAATGACAACATCAGTGTGGCCTTCAAGTTTCTGAATCATGGTTTTCTGCTGTAGATCCCATATGTACACACATTTATCCTCCGATCCACTGACGATGTATTTTCCATTCGTGACAGAAAACGTGGACACGATGCAATGGACTCTATTCACGTGTCCCGTATATATCTTCAAAAACTTCCCAGCTGAGTAGTTCCATAGCTTCTGCAACCCCAAATACAAAATATAAGTTAAAAGAAGTGTGCATCACAAAAGCTATACACTAATTGTGTCAACTACCGGTATAAAGCTGCACTTAATCATATGAATACAAAATCACAATTGCTACTTCTCTCCAACAAAATTCCGTAGTTTTTGAATACCAAGTTGCGAAGGACTAAATTTGATCTAGCCAACAGAACATTCTAAATATAAAAATTCTAAGTAGGGTGAACTTAGTTGGTTGTTAGTCACCAAAACTAAATACTCGAGCTTGTTCTTCTTATACTAAAGAAAAAGCCAATCCTTCAGACATTGTCATACTCGAGCTAGTTACTCGAGGTTATTCTTCTATTCATTCATTTTATCTCAATGAAGGCTGACTTTCTCGTAAAAAAAAACCAGACAAGTTGGAGCTACATACTGCACATAGTTCATAGACTTGTAGCACAAATTAAGAAGACAGGAACTGGAAATCTTCAAATTGACTATAGACGAGATATGATTACGCTAAATTTTGTGGAGTTGACAGATCTATATATCCCAAAAATATACACCATATCTATTGAGTACGATAATTGCCTATAAATTTTAATGTTCTTATATCCTGCAGACATAATATAATAAGCAGTTCGGAATAATTTCAGAATCTTAATAATTCAGGATTTTCAAATGTCCTGAAGCTCATCCTATGCTTTTAATCGACTGGCATGTAATCAAGGATACAACGGGATTAATCATTCTGAACTTTGTCTGTTCTAAGTTAAAACCCCTGATCCTGGAATGTCACCATATGACTCAACTGGTTTAAGAAACCACACCACAATACATATTTAATCAATCCTCATCTAAATTTCGTTAAGTAGAAAATTTAAGAAATCAATCTTCATCTAATTTCACTAAGAAGTTAGAAACATTAAGAAGACTGATAGTGCACCATTGCTAGAAACTTAAACAGCCCAAAAAGGTTCCTCCTTCGGTATTCAATCAAATAAGGGTTTCCTGCAAATGCCTTCAGTTTTCTTCTCCAAACGTGGATTGGATTATCGGATCATGCCAAAGGGGTGGGCAGGCATTAGGAAATGCAATATCTTGAATAATTTGGTGGGTGATTTGGGGCTTAAGCTAGTTTCAGAGTAGGACAGTTGTTTTGAAGGAGCAAAGTAAAAGGAAAAATAGGTAAACGAGAAGACCGTGCGAGCATGAATTGATAGCACATTCTTATTCTAGATGGAAAAAACAGTAGGAACGTTTATGATCCAGAAAATCCCTCACATTTGTTGGAAATCTCGAACATCCACCATGGTATGGTATTGTCCACTTTGCGCATAAGCTCTGATGGCTTTGCTTTTGGTTTCCCCAAAAGACCACATACCAATGAAGATAGTGTTCCTTACTTATAAACCCATGATCTTCCTCCTAATTAGCCAACGTGGCACTTATAAACCCACGATCCTCCTCCTAATTAGAAACCCGCGGTCCTCCTCCTAATTAGAAACCCGCGGTCCTCCTCCTAATTAGAAACCCGCGGTCCTCCTCCTAATTAGAAACCCGCGGTCCTCCTCCTAATTAGAAACCCGCGGTCTTCCTCCTAATTAGAAACCCGCGGTCTTCCTCCTAATTAGAAACCCGCGGTCTTCCTCCTAATTAGAAACCCGCGGTCTTCCTCCTAATTAGAAACCCGCGGTCTTCCTCCTAATTAGCCAACATGGTACTTATAAACCCATGATCTTCCTCCTAATTAGCCAATGCAGTACTTATACCCTCAACAAGATTAGCTCGCAGTTTCCTCTTTCCTTACAAAATTCCATTCTGAAAATAGCATTGCGATATTTCCAGCAATCTCAATGGTTTCAATAATCAATAGCCAACCAGCATCATATCATCAAGAAATCAATTTCAAAACTCAAAAAACTGAAAGCCAATAAACACAAGACCTCAGTCTGAAAACTTACAAGGGTATCATTGAGAGTAGCAACAAGTATAAACTTGCCATTGGGCGAGAACTTAGCAAACGATACAGCAGGGACCTTATCATCAATTAGAGTCTTCAAGCACGTCCCAGTAGAAGCGTCCCAAATCTTACACGAACCATCATGACTACCAGACACAATAAGCGAACCATCACGATTAAAATGAACAGAAGTAACAGGCATAGAGTGAGCCCTTATAACATGAAGGCACTTGCCCGTCTTCACCTCCCAAATCCGAATCGTCTCATCAAAGGAACCCGAAACAATGAAATTAGATTGAGGATTGAAATTGACGCAGAATACAAAATCGGAATGACCTCGTAGGGTTTTGACGCACTCGCCGGTGGAAGAACGGGCGTCCCAAATGCGTAGAGTGCGATCGTCGGAGGCGGAACAAATGTAATGGGAATCGGAAGACCAGGCGAGATCAGAGATGCCTTCGGAGTGGCCAACGAGGCGGTGGCGAAGGGTGAGGGAGGAAGAGGACCAGATGATTAGGGTTTTGTCGAGAGAGGCGGAAGCTAAGAGAGTTCCATCGTTGGAGAATTTGACACAGGAGACGGCGCGTGTGTGTGCCGTCAAGGTTTTCAGATGCCGGTAGGGTTTGTACGGTTGCTGTTGATTTCCGCCGCCGCTTGCCATAGAAGAGAGTCGGCGAGCAAGTTGCTGCAAAATTCCGGCACCGTAAGTCTAATTTTTAACCTCTGACCCTCCCCCTTCTATTTATACTTTTATGATAAATATATTTATTTATTTATGAATTTGTGAGTTATTTTTCTTTTTGATTTACTTTCTAGACCAATGTTTTTAAAAACTAAAATAATTTTTTTTAAATTAAAAAATAGTTTTAAATTGAATTAAAATTCAAATTAACTTTTAAACCAAATAAAATTTATTGTAAATAAATCAGTTTCTCGAAGGGATTATTTTAACGAATAATTTTTAAATATATACTTTAATAAATTAAAAAGTTTTTTTTTTATAATTATTTAAACAGATATTTTAACCTTTAATTTCTTACTACATGCTTTAATCAATTCAAACTTTTTTTTACAATTATTTAAACTAATTTTTGTTTTTTTTTTTTTGAGTTCTATTTTGTTATTTACTTTTTATTAATGTTTTAAAAAACCAAGATAGTTTCGAAAACAAAAAAATATATAGTTTTTTTTATAAATAATATTTAGCAAAAAAAAAAAAATCAGGATGAAAATTATAGTAAAATTATTAAAATATGATATTTAGAAAATATATTTTAATAATTAGTTATGAAGTATATCTTAGATATCGGTAATTCAGTTAATATTTTTTTCTTTATTTTATATATATATTTTTTATCTTTATTTTATATATATATTTTCTAGAGTCGTTAGTATATTTTATTTTAGAATTTGATTTTTAGTATATTTTATC